ATCTCCTACATTAAACAGTCGAAGTATCTTAACTTCCGAAAAAGAACAAATTTGGAAAATGGCTGGATTCGAATCGACGACCTTCGAGTTACCATCCCAAATTTGAGCCAAGCGCCTTACCTATTGTTGTTCTTTCATGATGATTCTCAATCAGTTTCCTTTATTCGAGTTATATGCTCTTTTCTGACGAAATAAATCTTCTTTTGCAGTATAGACTACACAGCTAAATACTACTGGAACAGAAGAATTAAATACTTCACTCAATGTTTAGAGTCTGAATTATAACTAGCTTTATTTCAAATTTGTCTGCTCTATTTATATCAAAAATTACATGAATGTTACATACAGTTTCATCAACTATTTGGCTATCATAAATCATATGAATTATTTTATGACTTCTGTCAAGCTATTAAACATAAATTGATTATCTTTTTATTACCAAGTATTCGGTGTAAGCTATTAAACTGACAATCGTGCATTAACATGTTTATACTCGTTTTTGACCTAATACTTACAGTTTTGGTTTACAATATTCAACACTCCTCCTCAAAAGAATATTTATTTTGTAGATTAGCTGCTTCTCTCAATTTTTTAATTCGTTCACCAGTTAATGGTTTTGTTAACATATCAGCTATGTTATTACTTGTTGAACAATATTCTACAATTACTTCTTTCTTTTCTCTTAAATCCTTAATAAAGTGATATTTCGTGTCAATATGTTTTGTTCTGTTACTGAATTTAAGATTTTCAGTCATTTTAATGCAACTTTGATTATCTTCATAAATTTTTACTGGTTCTTGATTAACAATCTTAAAATCTCTGCAGATATTCCTAATCCACATCATATCTTTTACTGTTTCTGCCAATGCAATATATTCAGCCTCTGTTGAAGATAAAGAAACACATTCTTGTCTTCTACATGCCCAATTGACTGTACCACCATTCACCAAACAAATATATCCACTATTAGACTTTCGATTAACTTTGTTTTCAGCCCAATTTGCATCTGAATATCCATGAAGACTTAAATTTCCAGCTTTATTACTTAATCTCAACTTCAGAAGTTTTGTTCCTTTCAAATATTTAATTATTCTTTTTACTTCGTTTAAGTCAATTTTTGTTGGATCTTTTATTTTCTGGCTAAGAATCGATACACTTGCGGATATATCAGGTCTTGTATTGGTTGATATATACAATAGCATTCCAATTAATTTTTGATACTCCTTGTTGTCTCCTAGTTTTTCTGTACAAACTAATTTTTCATATCCAGGATCCAAAGGATATTTTGAAAATTTTGAATCTTCCAAACCAGATTTAATGACAACTTCATCAATATATTTTTCTTGATTTATCATAAAATTACCAAATTCATCTTTTTCTATTTCAATGCCTAAGAAAATTTTAACATCTCCCAAATCTTTTAATTCAAATTCCCTATTCATATTTACTTGTAACTCGGTCATCATCGCTTCACTGTTACTTGCCATTAATATATCATCGACATGGATTAATACATAATTTGTATTTTCTTGATCTGTTTTATAATATAGGCATTGATCATTACTGCTCTGCACATAATTATTTTCTTCAAAAATTCTGTGCACTTCTTTATTCCATTGTCTTGCTGCTTGTTTCAAACCATATAAACCCTTCTTTAGTTTACATACTTTATCTCCTTTTTCAAACCCTTCGGGTTGCTTCATATAAATTTCTTCTTCAATTTTTCCATTTAAAAATGCTGTTTTAACATCAAAATGCTTCACTTTATATCCTCTTGTGGATGCTGTCGAAAGCATTATCCTAAAGGTAGTAGATCTTACGACTGGTGCAAATACTTCATCATAGTCTTCTCCAAACTTTTGTGAGAAGCCTTTTGCTACAAGTCTAGCTTTATATCTTGTTAAATTTCCTTGGTCATTTTTCTTTATTTTAAAAACCCATTTACATCCAATTGTCTTCCTCCCAATTGGTAAATCAACAAGTTCCCAAGTATCATTTTCATTTATGGCTTGTAACTCTTCCTGCATTGCTTTAACCCAAAAGTCTTTTTCTGGAAGACTACACACTTCATTAAAACTTGTTGGCTCTTTTATCTCATAAACATCACACTTGTTTGCTACATGATCATCAAATCCATATCTTTTTGGTGTCACTCCAGCATTAACTCGTGTCGATCTTCTTAAGTTATCATTTTTCTCCTCCTGAACCTCGTTCGGGATCAAAGTATTCTCTTCATCATATGAGTTATTAGTATTCCTTTCAGTTTCTTCTTCTATAATGCTTGTAGCATCAAAATAATCTTGAATACTCATCTCATTCTCTTCTTCAATATCTTCATTATTTCCTTCATTGATATCATCACAATTTTTCATTTCACTATCGTTATTCTTGTCATGATTATCACTCGATTGAACAGTTACATATTCTTGCGTCTTTCCCACCTTTTTTAGGAACACAACATCTCTACTAATTGTAACAACATAATTCTTATTAACAACTCTGAATCCCTTTGATTCTTCGTCATATCCAATAAACTTCATTTTTTCCGCTTTCAAATCTAATTTCCTTCGCTTAGCGTCTGGTATTTTTACAAAAACTTCACATCCAAATTGATGAAATTCACTATAATTTGGTTTCTTACCAGTAAAGCATTCATAAGGCGACACATCTTTGTAGTTGCTCACAACTCTATTTAAAACATAACTAGCTGTGCTGACTGCCTCTGCCCAAAAATTTTTTGGTAAATGAGCATCTTGTAACATTGTTCTCGCAGCTTCCATCAATGTTCGATTTTTTCTTTCTGCTACACCATTTTGTTCAGGTGCATATCCAACGGTACATTGATATGAAATTCCTTCCTTTTTCAAATAGCTTTGAAGAATATTATTGATATATTCTTTTCCCCTATCTGTTCTCACAATCTTGGGTTTTTTACCATACTGCGTTTTAAGTTTTTCAATGTATTCAATTAGTTTAGTTGTAACTTCATCTTTGCTTTTAAGAAAAACAACTTCTGTGTATCCACTTTTAACATCTATAAATGTTGCAAAATATCTTGCTTTTCCAATAGATCTAACCTGCATTGGACCACAAACATCACTCACAAGACAGTCTAAAACTTCTTCAATTTCTTTTGCCTTTTTCGGAAAGCTTTTCCGTGCTAATTTTCCTTTGATGCATTCTTCACAATTGTCACTACATTCGCATTCGCTTATTCTTAAACCTTTAGACTTCATACGTTTAATGTCGGCTAAATTGCGGTGACATAAAATTTTGTGCCATTCATGAATACATGAATCTTGCTCCTCCTTAATTTTATAACACAAATTAATTTCTTCTAAATGGTAAAGTCCATTTTTCCATTTAGCAACAGAAATACAATATTTTCCTCTTTTGAGTATACACTCTTCTTCTGTAAATTCAACTTTAAATCCTTTTTCTGTCAGTTTTCTAACTGACACTAAATTTCCATCCATCTCTGGTATGTACAAAACTTCGTTTAGTGTTACATCTATTATTTGATTTTTCCTTCCATCAAATACTTTGAGTTTTAGTGTAACCTTTCCTTCACCTTCAACTTTTACGCTTTTTCCATTTGCTATTTTTACACTTCCATTTAATTTATTGAAATCTGAAAACATATCTCTTTGACTACATATATGTTTTGTAGCTCCGGAATCGACACACCAATCCTGAAGATTATCAGAAACAACTTTGTACCATTGATTGGACTTGACTAACTTAGCCAATCCATTTTTATTTTTCCATTCAATGAATTTTTTACATTGTGGTCTAATATGACCCTTTTCTTTACAAAAATAGCATTCAGCGTCTTCAGCGCGTTTAGCTGACCAGTATTGGACATCTCTTTTTGTATTGGCTGATGATTTTCTATCATATTCTTCAATCAGCTTCATCTTAATTGTTTGCAAAGTTAGCTTGCTCTCTTCCCATGCTTCTAAAGCAGTTATCAACGCATCATAGTCTTCATTGAGGCTAGACAATATGATGTGAATAGCTGATTTATCATCTAATGCAGCATCCATTTCAGATAATTCATCAAGATCTTGAAATATTTTGTCAAGATGATCTCGTATAGGCTCTCCCTTCTTTAGCTCATACTTATGCAATCTTTTCTTAATTCTAATTTGATTGGATAAGCTTGAGCGTTGGTGATATTCTTGCAATTTTTTCCAAGCATCTCTTCCTCCAGTGGCTTTCTTGACATGGATCAGTTGATTATTTTCAACGGACAAAGCAATCCATTGAAGTGCCTTCTTATCTTTCTTTAAGACATCATCTGCCAAATCAGCATCATTTCTCAACTCGATTGAGTCATAACAATCTTCCTTTTGAAGAAGCATCATCATCTTGAACCTCCATGATAAATAGTTAGTGTTATTCAATTTTTCGATATGAAAAATTGATTTCTCAGATGTTGAAACAGAGCTGCTTCGTTCTGGGCCCATAACCTGTTGTTCTTTCATGATGATTCTCAATCAGTTTCCTTTATTCGAGTTATATGCTCTTTTCTGACGAAATAAATCTTCTTTTGCAGTATAGACTACACAGCTAAATACTACTGGAACAGAAGAATTAAATACTTCACTCAATGTTTAGAGTCTGAATTATAACTAGCTTTATTTCAAATTTGTCTGCTCTATTTATATCAAAAATTACATGAATGTTACATACAGTTTCATCAACTATTTGGCTATCATAAATCATATGAATTATTTTATGACTTCTGTCAAGCTATTAAACATAAATTGATTATCTTTTTATTACCAAGTATTCGGTGTAAGCTATTAAACTGACAATCGTGCATTAACATGTTTATACTCGTTTTTGACCTAATACTTACAGTTTTGGTTTACAATATTCAACACCTATTCGACCAGCAAGGCACTTAACTGCTTAACTGCAGTCTCAAATTATCAAACTTCCTCTCAATTCATTAATAACATAATTTTAAATTCCTCACAGATCACAAAATAAAAATGAAGATTAAATGCCAATTTGGACGCGACACATTCTCAGACATTTCATATTCATGCAAAATCTTGAGTGAAATAATCAACGAAGATGAACCTTTGGAATTTGATATAAAGCATGACGTTGGAAAATCAAATGCAGATGTTAAGGAAATCACATTCGAGCACTGCAACATGGCAAAAGTTCCAAAAGGACTCACAAAAATCTTTCCAAATTTCCAAACTTTAATAATTTCCTGCTCAGGGTTGGAAAAGTTGCAGCAAGAAGACATGGCTGAATATAAAAAGTTAAAGAAAATTGACTTTTCAAACAATAGAATTGAGTTCCTGCCGGGCGACTTGTTTGATGATTTTGAAAATTTAGAAGAAATTTATTTCGATGACAATCAATTGACAGTCATTGAGCCTGAATTGCTTGATAAATTGGAGAAATTAAAGTACGCAAGCTTCGATTACAATCCAAACTTCACATCCAGTGTCAATTGCAACAATAAGCAAGCTTTAGTCGACTTTAAGGAATTGCTGCTTGAAAAGTTCTTAGAAAATTCAGAAAATGTCAAAAATTATCTTAAAAAGTCGATCGAAAAAAGTCAAAACTTAAAAATTGAATTAAAATTTGAAAAACAAATAAATTCTTACATAACCTCAAAATACCAAAAGTGCTTCCATTCCGACATTGAAGCTTATTTACAAGATAAATCGACAAAGGACTTCCAAATTCAAATTGACGAGCACGAATTCCCAGTCCACAAATTCCTGCTAGCAGCTCGAAGCCCAACTCTGGCTGAACTACTGAAAAACAACCCTGAAGTTGAAAATCTTGGCTAAAGTTTCCTTTACCGGCGCACTCATTTTTGACCCTTTAAACCCCTTTTTACCCCATGTTTCTAGGGGTAAAGTGGGAATTCGGGGTTACTAGGGTGGGGGAAACCAATTTTAGGGGGTATGGTGCCCCGGGGGGTCCAAGGTGGGGAAATTTTTTTTTTCAACACTTTAATAATTTTTTAATTTTTTTTAAGGGGGACAAGTGGGAACCGGGAGTTCTCGGGTGGGGAACAATCTAAAAAACAAAGGGGTACACAACTTTTAGGGGGTACAAAACTTTAAAATAATTAAAAAAAACGATTTTTTAAAATTTAAACGGTTCTTTAATTTTTTTAAGGGGGACAGGTGGGAACCGGGAGTTCTCGGGTGGGGGACAATTTTAAAACAAAGGGGTACACAACTTTTAGGGGGTACAAAACTTTAAAATAATTAAAAAACGATTTTTTTAAAAATTAAACGGTTTTTTTATTTTTTTAAGGGGGACAGGTGGGAACTGGGAGTTCTCGGGTGGGGGACAATTTTAAAACAAAGGGGTACACAACTTTTAGGGGGTACAAAACTTTAAAATAATTAAAAAAACGATTAGGATTTTGAAACACTTCAAACTAAGAAAAAAAAAAATCATACAAATTTTATAACAGGAGGAAAAATTGAATCTAATCTTCAATTTGTTTATCTATAGCAAGGGTAGAGATGGTTTTAAAAATTAAAAATTATATTTATTTTACAAAATCTATTGGAAAAAAACTATCCACTTGTTCTTAAATTTCTACAAATTTACTATAATTTTTCCTTTCACAAAAAGTTCAACAATGATCCTCATTAAACAGAGGTTTAGCAAGAGGAGGGTTTTATGGGGTCAAAACACCCCCCCCCCCCCCTTCTTGATAAATGTCAAAAAACCCTTTGTTTAAAACTGACTACACCTTGTATAAAAATTCAAATTTACACATCTATTGTATTATAATAAGTTAGTTAATTTAAATAATGTAAAAACTTACCACTAAGCCGCATTTTCTTACCCACATCAGAACAAACATGCTTATTTGCTTCAAAGTCAAATTATGAAGGATTCTATTTTTTCAGACAAAGTCCTTAAACCCACTGGGCGAAGCCCTTTTACCTAAAATAGAATCCCATTTTTTAGACAAAGTCCTTAAACCCACTTGGCGAAGCCCTTTTACCTAAAATAGAATCCTATTTTTTAGACAAAGTCCTTAAACTCACTGGGCGAAGCCCTTTTACCTAAAATAGAATCCTATTTTTTAGACGAAGTCCTTAAACCTACCGAAATATAAGTTAAAAAATAAATAATTTTATTATGTAGTTTTTTAATAATTTAAAAATAAGTTCATTTTTCACGGGTTTAATCGCTATTTTCCCCATTTTCAATTGAAAATTTTTTTTAAAAAAATAACGATAATAAAATTTTTTTGAATATTTAATACAGTGTTATTCAAACTTTTTCGGTCCACGATTCACTTTTCTACGCAAAAATGTTCTCGGCACACCTGGACTATTCAGGACACTAAATGATTTTTACAACCTTTTAAGAGACTGAAAACTTGGAAATATATCGAAAATTAAAATTTTTTTTGCGGTAAACCTGGCATTATTTCAAGGCACACTAGTGTGCCGTGGCACATAATTTGAGAACGACTGATTTAATACCTTCTTAAGTTGCATACTACTTAGAAGTTGCGTACCCCAAAAGCTATGTACCCCCTAAAAGTTGTGTACCCCTTTGTTTTAAAATTGTCCCCCACCCGAGAACCCCCGGTTCCCACCTGTCCCCCTTAAAAAAATTAAAGAACCGTTTAAATTTTAAAAAATCGTTTTTTTTAATTATTTTAAAGTTTTGTACCCCCTAAAAGTTGTGTACCCCTTTGTTTTAAGATTGTCCCCCACCCGAGAACTCCCGGTTCCCACTTGTCCCCCTTAAAAAAAATTAAAAAATTATTAAAGTGTTGAAAAAAAAAATTTCCCCACCTTGGACCCCCCGGGGCACCATACCCCCTAAAATTGGTTTCCCCCACCCTAGTAACCCCGAATTCCCACTTTACCCCTAGAAACATGGGGTAAAAAGGGGTTTAAAGGGTCAAAAATGAGTGCGCCGGTAAAGGAAACTATTACCAAAATCTTAATTTAGTCGACATTTCTGTAGAAATTTTTGACAAAATTCTCAAATTTCTCTACACTGATGAACTTCCAGGTGACGATGGGACAAACTTTTTGCACCTTTTTGCAGCTGCTGGGAAGCTCAAGATTGAAAATTTAAAAGATTTTGCCGCTAAAAAATTATTTGATCAAATTGATGCTGAAAATGCTATGGAAATCCTTAGCATCAGTAATAAGTACGAGCATCAAGAGCTGAATGTTAAAGCATTTGATGAGATTAAGAAGAAATATTCTAAAATTAATTTCAAAGACGATTGGGCTGCAGACACTGATAAAGTCACTCAAATTATTGAAGCATTTCAGAAAAAGGAAGATTTGATAAGAAAAGCTGAAGAAGAGTTTGAAGGTTTGCTGATTTAATGAGCTAATGTGTTCCTTAATTATATAAAATTTATGAACTTATTTTTATAAAATTTATGCAAAAAATTAAGAAATTGCAATAAAAGAAGATAAATAATTTTTAAATTAAAGTTTTGAAATCAATTTTAATTTGTTTTATTCGGAAATTCAGATTTTTAGCGCATTTTTGAAACTTGTTTCTAAAAGGTAGCTTAATAATACACTTTGTACGGCTGTTAGGCTGCTCGGGCGTAGAAAAACTTTTTAACCAGACATCGTAGAGAGCTCGGGTTTGTTTTATTAGCTCCGTTACTATCGATTTATCGGCTCATCGAGTGGTTAAAAGTCTTTAAACCATGTATTTATGCTTTAATTAATGATTTTTATTTTGTTTTCAGTGTAACCTGTCCAAATTTTATTTTACCTCTTTAATTTCAACATTAAAAATTTCAAATTTTTTCTAGCCGTTGTAAACGACCAACAAGGCTAAGGATCTCATCATAATGAATAAAAGCTGTCAATAATCAGTTCAATCAATAATAAAACCTTGAAAAACAAGATAAATCGCTTAAAACAGGTAAACCTAATCTAAAATCCACCAAAACATCTTAAAAATTCCTCAAATTCCATAACGGACATCCGCCACATTTCAAAATGCCCACATGCTCCAAAATCTGACTTTTCGACACTCGCCACTTGTCGACACCACCACCGATAAACGAATCATGTTCGAATGCAGTAATAAGTACACAAGAAACATACAAGAAGACAAGAAGAAAAAAAAATTTCGGGGCGAGAGCAGCAAAAAGACTCGAAAAATTTTCAGCATTAAATCATTAAAGTGGTTAAAAGTGACAAAAAATTGCTGAAAATTCGCTAAATCGCGAGTCAAAGTTGTCGTGTAACTCGATATCGTGTAGTTTAGGTGAAATTTAATCAAAAAATTGACAAAAAACGTCAAAGTGAAAAAATAGAGAAGAAAAAAAAAATTTTTGTGGAAAGAGGAACAAAAAAAAAGTTTCAGTGAATTTTGTGGAGAATTGAAATCAATTTGTGGATAAAAAGTTGAAATTAAAATTGTAAGTTAAAGAATCTTTAAAGAATTTGCACAAAAAAATGGAAAGTTTGCTTTGGTTCTGGACAATTTTGTCTATCGCGACTTGAAAATTACTTCAGTTTCCGTCAAAACTCCATCGACTGGCTGGTCATCAGTCACGTCTCACATCCAGCTCGTCCAAAATTCCAGAAATCTCAAAAATGTGCAAAAGATGATGAAAAAAAAAAGATTCTGCGAGAAAAAAAAAACTTATTTTTTCACCGATGCATGAATGTTTGTTGTACACAGGCCATGGCTTACGTCTGTGTTTGTGTCAAAGCAATTGCAAATGTATGGAATGAAGGTGTTGGTGGCTGACTATGTGTGATATGAGTGAATTCTTTTATTAAAACAAACTCAAATGAGAATATAAAAAAAAAAAACATAAATAGGAAGTTCAACAATTTTTTTTTGGACTAGCGGCGATGATCGTGATTTTTTAAAGCTACAAAAAGGTTAAAAGTTTAGAAAAATTTTTGTTCGATTTTTTTCTATATCCAGAAAATGGACTCGAGTGATTCATGAATTCTTGTAATTAAAATTTATTTTTCCTGCTTTTTTTTTATTTGTGATAAGTTTTGAGTCACTCGATTGCGGAGTGTTTGGTGTTAAAATTGTGTCTTATTAATTTAAATTATAGTCTTTTTTTCAATGGAATCGACTAGCTTTGCTTTTTTCCCTCGACAGTCATGCGAGTTTACTGGAATTGTTTTTGAAATTTTAAAGGATTTTTTTAAATGTTAAGGCATAGAAAATGGTGGGCAGTGAAGATATAAAAATTGATGGACATAAAAAAATTTGATTATAATTTTCTATTTGGATATTTCCATTGAAAATGTACTCATAAAATAATATTAACTGACATGGACTGAAAAAAGGAAAATTAAAAGTTTTATGCTGTTTTGGGTTTTGTAAAGCTACAATTAAGCATTTTTTGGTATCAGGAATCTCAATGGATCTTCCAAAGCCAATCCAAATTGTCAAAAACTTTAAAACCTCAGAAATCAGAAAAACATATTATTTCTGTAATTTTATAGACAACAAGTGTCAGTTTTTAAGGGTTTTGTTGTTGTTGATGGGTAAACTTGCGATTTTTATGTGATTTAAACGTTTAGATTCATAGCTGAGCACTTGTTATGCTAATAAAGCCAGTAAAAGCTTAATGAATGTAATTTTAATCTTCCTCAACAATCCAACCCTGACTAAGCTACTGGTTTGATCAGAATAACATTTATCCTTACAATTCTGCTATAATTTAACAAATAAGCTTCAAGAAATTCTCAAATTAATGTTTTCATTACAAAAGTTCCAACTCAGACTTAATAGAATGTTTCAAGGAAATTGGAACTCTAAAGATTATTCTAAAGCAGTGGTGGGCAACCTTTTTTGTGTCACGGCACCCCTTTGTGGTAAGCTTCTACAAAAATGGGAGGGCTTGTGGGATTGTTTTGTATCTTTTTTCTGATGCAACAGTGTACTGCGGCACATTATTTTATTATTTATTTGTCGACGTTACCGTCTGGAAGAATTAGTATTTATACATGTTTTTACTTTTTACATTGATTAGTGATACATTTCATATCACTATGGATGACGTAGAATCAAGCTTCTAATCTTCAAATCTAGGTTTCGATTAAATTCAGGCTCTCGTTTCAATCTTCTGTGGGCGTGACTTGATACTTTTCAGGTCCGTTCTAACAATATTCCATTCGTGGGTAATCTTGTAGCTCTCGTTCCTATTTCTCCCGCTACACTTCAAGTTCCTGACCCGTTCCTTAATCCAACGTTGCCCAAATGCCCAATTATGGCTTGATCTCGTACATTAAGCAGTCGAAGTATCTAAACTTCTGAAAAAGAACAAATTTGCAAATGGCTGGATTCGAACCGACGACCTTCGAGTTACCATACCAAATTTGAGCCAAGCGCCTCACCTATTCGACCAGTAAGGCACTTAACTGCTTACATGAGTTAGCCATTACTGTTTTAAAGAGTTCTAAGATAGCATCAGAATAGCACAAGTTGGTTAATCGAATCTGGCACTAGACTGACGTAACTCTTGCATAAACTAAGATTTTATTTAAGTCCAGCACCATTAGTTTGGTGTCATATATCAATTTAATTAAACGACTTGTACCATTTGAGGCAGTTCCTGATGGTAATTCATGAATTCTTCCTTAAACTGTATCTAAAGTTCCAAAATCTAGCCAATTCAGCTCACATACTAAGAAACACACATTATTTGATTCCCCCAATTCCACCTTGTAAATCAAAACATGCACAAAGTTCACACTTGTAGCCTCAATATTGACTTAAATTCATAAATAATCAACAATTATTAAGCATACAGTTACTTCAATAAACTTCAACTTCCATTCAATAATGCATTATTTACTTGTGATTAATTTTGTACACATCCTTATCGAACTCATAAGTAATTCTGGGGAAATAAGCTACAACTAAATGAAACAGTCATTAGAAATTAGTTTTTGGGTGGTTTTGAGGGGTTTGGATTTAAATTTTTTGGAATTGATGAGGATTTATTTGGAATTCGGGGTTTAAGTATGTTCTTGTGACTTAAAAATGACGGCGGGGTTAAAGTTCACTGAGTCAAATAAAAAACTTAATTTCATACATAATTTATCATCAAAATAGACACTTTAGTAGTCGAATGGGAGTCGTCAGGACCTAATATGTGCAATTTTCAACAAAAAGGGTCAAATTCAAGTTTATATGCGCCATATTCTGGAAAATAGTTTAATGTCTCTCGTAAATATGACGCACAGCTACAAATTAAAATTAATTATCAAATAAAGCCGAAATTCCAAACATTTGAACCCAACCTTTGCCAAATAAGCAACATTAATGAAATAAATTTTGTAAAAGCCTTCTTAACACAAATTCTAGTCACTTAGCTAGAAAAAATGCCTCCATTCCTTAAATCATCAAATTTCATGTCCTGTAAGAATTCGTTTTCTAATCCAATAAAAGTAAAAACTAATTTTTCGACATTAATTAGAACCAATTAATCTGACAGCAAACAAAATTCTTTCTTTTCTAAATGTCAAGCAACTCTCGCTTCATCTACAGCACATGCCCTATCTCCAAAATTGACAAAACAATCTTAAAATTTTCCGAAGCTACAAAACTAATAGTAAACTTTTGAGAATATTTATTGCTTAATCATGTTCAAATTATCCTCGAAGGCATTTCATGTAAAACTATCATGACATGATCCAAATTAACTTGAAGTTTCTGAAGATACGATTTTGTGAAAATTTCCATCATCGACTCTAAATTGACCTTAAAATAATTAAATTAAGGTCTTTTTATTGACGCCATGTAAAAAAAATTAAATTTTTTAAGGATGTGCCGGCAATATTTTTTTCTATATGCCTCAAAAATTAAATTACCTGAAATTCAATTTGTGTTCATACGAGAATCAAATAAGACACAGATGGTTAAGGAGGAATATTTCGCTTCTAAAATTTACTCTCAGCTGTCGTGTTAGTAATTTGGTATGGAAATTCTTGTTTCGATAAACTGACCATTAACAGTAAATTTTGTGCTGATAATTGAATTATTTTGAGGGAAATTTAATTTTTTAGTGTGGATTTGAGGAGGTGCTGTAAGCAGTATTTGAGGCTATGTTGTTGTTTTTGAGTGAATTTACTATTTTTTATTGAAAGATTAAGGCTTAACCTAATCAAAAACGTCTTAAAACTTACAAGCGTGCGCCATTTGAGGAAAACTGTACACTCTATCCCTGAATATGACACATGAAAATCATGATTTTCATTCAATTTTGTTCAAATCATTGAGATAATCTGTAAGGAATCCAAGAAAATGAACTGTGCGCCAAATCAAGGAAGACTTTACTTTTTACTTAAGATTATGACGCACGAAAGTCTTCGATATTCTTCAAATTCTCATTA